AAAAAAAAAAAGAAACATGCAACAGCGGGGATTCGCTGGTCGTCACCGACCCAACTACTAGTCCGCCGATCTGAGGCTTATGTATGGCAGAGCGGACGGGATGCCCAGTTCTCCTCAGTCTATGGTCGCATGTGCTTGGAATCCTTTAATTGTAATCCTTATACCACAATCTCACGGTCTGTTTCTGGATAGATGGTAGATGCTCCACAATCAATAGATGTTCTCAATTTACTCCCACTTGTTATTCAAGAGTTTATACTTCTAGGTGGACTTCTAAATTGGCACAAGACCAAGAGGGTAATATTATTATTTTATGGGCGAGAGAATCCTTGCTTCGAGAAGGAAGGACCCATCCAAATATTATACTTTGAAAAAGCCTCATAACTAAGGTAAAACACGAGAGAGCATCTAAAGCTTGGATAGAGAAGAAACAAATTAAAAAAAAAAAAAAAAGCAAATTCATCCATCGCTATGTCTTACGTCAACCATTGAAGGTTCCCTCTTACCTGTCACCTCGGCAAGATAATTCACCGTAGTCGTCAGTTTCCATAGTTCTCAATTCCAAACAATGCCGTCCGGCAAATCAATGAAGCGAGCAAAACCCGCAATCATGGCACGCAAATTAAATGATTAATTTGAAACTGCAATGACCAATGGTGACACCTACCCCTGCCTGACGAATTGACACAGTACAAATAGAAGGCGAACACTGATGCCTGGCAGCAACAAGGATTGGTATCCTAGTCGTTGTGGCATGCATACGGAGTAACCCATAAGCCAGACGGCAGATTCTGGACCTCCCCACTTTCTGGTTATTACCACCGATACAACCAACTAATGAACAACCCGCCAATTGACCAGCGAAATAAAATAAGGCATCCAAGCAATATACACGGTGGGCAGGCATCAATTGTTCGAGACCGCGGCCATCTAATTCTCTTAACCCACCATAAACTACGTCGACACCCCACTACTGTACATGCCTTTTCAGCCGCATCTCCCCTCCCCTCCCTTCCCCACCAACACCTACTAAGCCACCCCACGCTGCAATCAGTCGCTCACTTTCTCGAACACGCATACATAAACGCGGTCTCTCTTTGCACTACTCATCGTAGTCCGTAAGCTCAGCTAAGCATAGCCAAATCGAGCCAAACAGAGCAATGTTCGAATACTACCTGAATCATCTGAACTAAGTCGCCCAAAGGACTACGATCCGCCCTCCTGACGTACGCCCGCATGCATCGACGCATGAGAATGACAAATCTCATTGAGAGTAACCATATTGGTTATTCCTGCTTGCCAAATACCCGTTGCGCAACGAAGCGCGCCGCACAGAGCGGCTACGCTGCGTGTCAGGACGCGGCAGCTGGCTCAAATTGTGACCCTAAGTGATGATGGTAGTGGCAATAATTTCAGGCTCCAACCAGAAAACATTCGCCAATACGATGACACACAAGAGTACATGACCACCAACGCTGGCTGCGACTCGCACATCCAACTAAGCCTGGGGACGCTTGCGGTGGCAGAAAGGACCAATAGAGCCAAGATGCCAAGAGGCCGTGGATCATGTGGTTCATGGTTTTCGATTCTGGAATTCCAAAAATCGAAAATCCAGTCACGAACGATCATGGCAAGGGCATATCTATCTCGCTGATCGAGTGGATGATGGACCGTCAGACATTCAGTGGCGATTTACAGCTTAAGCCCCTTGCTTGAACAGCCAGTCTGCATGCACGTCGGCAGCAAAGTTGGTAATGTTGAACTCGTTGCCTGTTTGCATTTGGGGTGCCGGCATGCCTGGCTTGATGCCATCTCCAGCAGGGACTGGCATCATTCCATCCGCTGCCGCCGTCACAGGCAACCGTGGCAGATTGAAAAAGTTGAAGACATCGAGATACTCGAGTTCGTTGGGCTCAGGCGCTCGGGGGAAAGCCGCGGGGACTGCCTGCGACACCGGTTGTCGAGGTTGTCGGGAAATGAGTACGTCTAGATCGTACGCACAGCGGCGCATGTCCGCGAGAATACGCACGCTCGATGGCGTCACTCTCTCTTCCCCGGCGCCCGCCGCACGTTCCGATTCTCGATGTTCATCGAGCACTCGCTGCAAGATGGTCGTATACCTCTCGGCAACTTTCCAGTACTGACCCATTTCTCGGAGCGTGTCCACAAAGAACTGAATATCCGGGCTCAGCCGATGTTCAAATGTTGAGCCATGCACTAGGAGAAGGCGAGCCGCGACCCAGATAGTAAACGCAAAAGGCGGACCAAGCTTGTTCAGCATGCCATTTCCCACAACGAATCTACCTAATGTCGCGATATTCTCGACGGCAGTCAGACACCGTTGGCTTGCACTGTAGGATGGAGCGAATATCGACGAGCGGATGGTTGGATATGCTGCAGACGAGTTTATTCGAATCACAACACTGTGCGACTCGTGAGCTTTTTACATTCTCATAAACGTAGGTGTGTCATGGATTTTCGCGATTTCTGCGAAAAGTTCAGAAGCACAAGTCGTTCATTGGAAGAGACTTACGTATGGTATGTAGCATGAAGCATAACCCAGCCGCAATTGACTACCTTGTTGCCATTTGGCAAATTGAAGAGCCGTGAAATATTTCCATATTCGCTCGGCAGCTTCGAATACCAGGTTGTAAGTTCCCCCTCGAGCTCACGATATTGTCGTTGCCAAGTTTCTACGTCTGGAATCGCGCTAATATCAACCGGCTTTCTTAGGAATTGGTGGATTCGAGACAATATGCCGAGGACCTCGATATAATATGAAAAGTATCCCAAATTTTCGGGTCGATCTAGACTGTAATCAGTTCGCCGCGGTGTGCGGAACCAACGCGTCTCCACCGGTCGATTCCGGGAGAACAAGTCGTCTCTGCAGGGCAGCTTCCGATCGATTTCCTTATCGTCAAGGGCAAACTCGAACGATGTGGCAATGGTCGTATAGCGGTCCAGCAGATAAACTGCCCAGAACAGACGGCGCCGGCTCTCCTCTTCAATCCAATTCATGGGTTCGGGTAGGACAGCTGCACCGAGAGTTGCGATGGATGGGAATTTGGGCGAAGCCAGTGACGAGGTAGATTCTGCTGCGAGTCCTAGTTGCACCACGGCACGTGTGATGAGTGCCAAAAGATTCCATCCTGGCGGTCCGTTGGATGAACCAGTCAGGTCAAGAGCCAGAATGACCATGGCCTGGACTGCTTTGACGGATGAGTTTTCAAGTCCGTACAGCACCACCTTCTGCTTGGAAGTGTCATGGTAACGTCGCCGAGAAGCCTCGTCCAAGCGGGGATCGTTGGAAAATCGTAACGTGGTGGCAACAATGGCATGAAGCATAATCCTGTCTGCTTCGTCAAGCGTGGATGGACGGAAAAGGGTCTCAATAGTTGTCTTGCGGTGAAGCAGCGGAATCCACGTGTTGATATGCTTGAAATAAAGATCAACAAGAGAGTAGAGTAAGTCATAGGGTGGCAACTCCTGATCCTGTGTGGTCACTGGTCCTACCCCATTAGATATGCCCATATTCGAACGATCTAGCGGCGGCGCCGAAGGCGGGGGATAGAAACCGTGGACTCCTTGCGACATGTGCGGCACCTGTGATATACCCGACTGCGGTATTGCATCACTAGTTGGCGGCGGCGGCGGAAAGCCATTCTGCTGCGGCAGTAGAGGCGTTGGTGTCTCAAGTTGTCCGGAGTAGTCTGAAAGAGGCGGAGAATTGGCCTGGCTGGCCTGGAAGAGGTGAGGCTTTTGTAGGAAGATGGCAGCGTCGGCCGAGGGAGGAATCTGCGGGACAGGGACCTGATTTATTGCGGATGTGCGAAAGGCAGACACGTCGGTCTGCGGTGACGGTTGGTTCGTCGAGACGGAGCTAGGTCCGAAATGCGCATCGAGAATTCGACTATGGCTACGTAGAACGTCCTCGAGTCTGTCTAAACAAGGTGTTAATATTATGCCCATTGATCACTTAGATGCCCAATCGCGTGTCATACCGAGCCGCTGTTCCAATTCTCTGCCATAACCCGCTCTTAAGCCAGGTTTCTTGCGTTCCTTGTATTCGCAAATTTGTCCTGCCCCACCGTCGTGTCAGCAGCAGTCGTCTTTCAAACGATACAATTTTGCATCGAAAGATTTGGGTTCGTACCATTTCGGGAACACCAGCCACAGGACGGATGGCCACGATCACATTTCACATGCAGGAAGAGTCAGTCGAAGCTGGGAGAGGATAAAACCAATGTTTCTTGGAAGCGAATACTTTTCTCTGTTTGCACAATTCACACCTGTCGCATCGGTTAGAGTCAAGTAAAGAAAACTCAAGCAGGTAGTGTTTATGGGCAACGCCAATGGTATCTTAGGCAATGACATACGAGACAGACATGGGCCTGCGCCTCTTGCGCGAGCCATCTTGATCTTCTCCGGCGCTTTCATCACCACTGGAATTGTTGTTGGGCTGAGGACTTTCGTACTTGGCATCAATGGCTGACTGGTCGGCAATGGAGTCCGACCGCGCAAGCACATGAGTAGGCGATTGATGCTGTTGCTGCTGAGCAGCCGAGGGAGTCAGCGCGTGCGCGGCAAGCTGCGACGACTGCTGCTGATGGTGCTGATGCTGGTCCATGTCGATGAGCGACAATTAGCAGGCTATCGATGGTGATCATGGCTTCGGTGAAAGTGAAAGCGTTGGGCCGAGCCTCGGGGGAGTCGAAGGAGAGGCAGATTTGCCAAGCTGGGGTTATGGGATTATTGTTAGTCAAAAAAGTCAACCGACCCAGAAGGGGAAACCCCACCGTCGCAACCCACCATCTCCAGTTTTTAACCCCGCAGACCACTAAGAAGAAGCCACCCCCAACTTCGCTTTACCCTTTTCCGTCCTTTGCTCCTCTTTCTCCCTCTTCTCTTCACAGGAACTTCCATTGGCTCTGGTAACTGCTGTGCCTCTGTAGAGTATACACAGTACTGCAACTTGAGCATACTGTGCTATGCAAGTACTGCATAACCTTTCACAAGCATAACCTCACACTTCAGCACGCGCTTCAATCGAAGCCACTCCGCCCTCGTGCTTGTCCCAAACCGCATCATCTCTGCGTCAAGGGTCCTTCTGGGCCCAGGCCAGCCCAGTCTATCATAACTCGACCCATCTCTACCAGGTCCCGCTTGCAAGGGTGAAAGATGCACCGAAAGCTAAAAGTGACGCGTTTTAGATCTGCCCTCTTTTTTGAACTGATAGGAGATCCATTGCTAGTTGGTCGTATTCTAGCATATTTGACCGTGCTAGACAGCTTAGAAGAGTCAGTAGGAGAGTATTAAAAGAAGACGCAAGACGTTCCTGTGTGCATGTAGTGAAAGGAATTGCAGTCCAAGAACCTCCTCCCCTTTCGTTCCTTTCTTCATCTCTGGTCCTTTTGCCATGGCTGCATCATCGTCATCCTCTTCTTCTGTAAAGACCTTCCCGACGATAAAGGAAGTACGCACTTTCATCATCGAAGGCGTCGGTTCAGGTGGTGACTATCATAATGTTCGTGGCGGCCATTGGCTCGTTGATACATCAATTGCTACTCCCATGTCCCGATGGGAAAAATACCGAGCCCAGCGAACTTCATGGGGCATCAATGTCTTGGGGTCATTCTGTGTCGAGATTGAGGCCACTGATGGCACAAAAGGTTTCGCTACGGGCTTTGGTGGCCCTCCAGCATGTTGGCTTGTCTCCTCACATTTTGAGCGATTCCTCATAGGAGCGGGTGAGTAGCAGCAAAGGCAAGCCAAGAATTTGGCCGCTAACGGCAACGCAGATCCTCGAGATACGACTCATTTGTTTGAACAAATGTACAGAGCATCGCTCTTCTACGGTCGCAAAGGATTACCAGTCGCCGTCATCTCCGTGATTGATCTTGCTCTTTGGGATCTCATAGGCAAGATTCGCAATGAGCCTGTTTACAAGATGATTGGTGGAGCAACTCGATCACGACTCAACTTTTACTGCACCGGCCCAGAACCCTCTGCTGCCAAGGCCATGGGTTTCTTTGGCGCCAAGGTGCCACTGCCTTTTGGCCCAGACGAGGGACATGCGGGGCTGAAGAAGAATATTGAGTTTCTTCGTAAGCATCGAGAAAGTGTGGGACCCGATTTTCCTCTGATGGTCGACTGCTATATGAGTCTCAACGTACCATATACGATTGAGATTGTCAAGGCGTGCGAGGAGCTCAACATCAATTGGTGGGAGGAGTGCCTAAGTCCAGATGATCCAGAGGGCTTCGAGCAGATCAAACGGGCTCATCCCACCATGAAATTCACTACTGGAGAGCATGAATACTCACGATACGGATTCCGCAAGTTGATTGAAGGCCGCAATCTAGACATTCTTCAGCCCGATGTTATGTGGGTCGGTGGCATGACAGAGCTGCTCAGAGTGGCCGCCATGGCTAGCGCGTACGATATCAGTGTTGTGCCTCACGCCAGTGGGCCCTACAGCTATCACTTTGTGGTTTCGCAAGCCAACTGCCCTTTTCAGGAGTACTTGGCCAATTCGCCAGACGGCAAGTCAGTGCTCCCTGTCTTTGGTGACCTTTTCACCAATGAACCTATTCCAGTCAATGGTTACCTTGACGTATCAGAACTGGACAAACCAGGGTTTGGCCTTGAAATCAATCCTGCGGCACGGTTACTGCCAGCAAACAATATCTTCAACCCGGCTCCATCAAGGCCATTGAGTTTCAAGGATGAACGTAATCATGTGGGGAAAGAGGCGGCAACAAAATAGATATCATCTGACAGCTTGGAAATGTGCATGGGTGTTCCTTCTGTCATTTTTCTTTTGTTTTCTCGTCTTTTGCATTGCGTGATACACAGCGACTTGCCTAATTCTAATATGGTTTGAGAGGGGTGGAGACTTGATTCGTCACTTTTGCTTTCTTCTTAGTCTCGGGAGTTTATCTACCGCGAACATGGGCTTATTTAGCCTACTTCACATGCAACAGCGTTAGTTTTGCATGACAGAACTGCAATGGCAATCATTGCCGATCCAGAAACCGGTTTGAATCAGTAGTAATATCTTGTTACTCGTTATTCATCGGAGATCTCTACCGAAGTGGTTTCGATCTCTTTCACCTGTGACTGCGGGGCATAAGCTTCCTGGCCAGTTCCCTACGTACTCCGGTAGCAGCCTGATGCCTCGGCTGCGGCCCGCTTGCTTGATGGCCCCTAAATTAGCTAAATATCCGCTTGTCACAGTTAAAAGATTCCATTATGATAGCCCTTCTTTCGGGCAGAAATATACCGAGACTATTTTTTTGCCCAGCCGCTCGTACTCTGAAAGTTTATGCCAGTGTCTGGCAAAGCGTTGACGCGTTGTCGCAGATCATGCAGTGATGGATGATGCAGCTCTGGCGGTATCAGAGCATCATTATCAGCTCGCTTAGGCTCTCAATGTATCTTTCAAAGTGTGACCGCAAATAACTGATGGGTCAATCGATTGGGCATGAAAGAAAGAGAGGACCCTGATTTCCCCCAGCACATCCCACTTGGACCGTGCCCCACAACCCCACACGCACGGAGAGGGGAATCTGAGGACTTCCACCTCAGCCACCACGTCCTCTATCACCATCGACAGTCACATACATTGATTGATTGGTGACGAACAGCTCTGAAACAAACAAATCTTGTCAATCAATTGCAAATTTCTTCTACTATACTGTGCCGTTACTCTACCTTGCTCCGAGAGAACCGTGTCTAATCTCTCTCCTCTCTGGGTTCTCCCCACTTTCTACTCCTATGGGTCTTCCCCGTTCAGCTTAGTCAGCGACCATGGCGGATACACAGCAGAGCAAATTATTGGAAGGCAAGTCTGCAGTCATTACGGGTGGTGTCACTGGCATTGGGCGAGCAATTGCTCTGGAATTCATCCGTCAGGGTGCTTTTGTTACTGTCTGCCATCTTGACGATCCAATCTCAGTGAGGCACTTCAACACTTTAGCTCGGGAGGTGGAAGACTCGAGGAACGGTCATAATAGCGTATTAAGCAGCTTTTCTGGAGACATTTCAAAACCTGAGACTGGAAAAGAGCTGATCGAGGATGCTACCAAAACGTTTGGCAAAGTCGACATTTTTGTGAGCAATGCCGGCATCTGTCAATTTGCTGATTTCTTAACGTATGCTCTACCCAATCTCTTCTTGTTTCATTGTTTTTTCTCTCGAAAATAATTTCTTTTTTACGATTAAACGACTGAAGAGGAGGTGTTAAACGTTTCATTGCTAACAAGCTCACCTTATAGGATCGAGCCTGATCTTTTTTCCAAAACTGTACGAACAAACCTTGATGGTGCATTTTATGCCACACAAGCAGCTGCGCGACAGATGGCCGAGCAAGGCAATGGCGGTTCCATTATCGGGATCTCGTCCATTTCAGCACTTGTAGGCGGCGGGCTGCAGACGCACTATACCCCGACCAAAGCAGGCGTGTTGAGCCTGATGCAGTCTTGTGCTGTAGCTCTGGGGAAGTACAACATTCGATGTAATGCTATTTTACCCGGGACCATTCGAACGCAAATGAATGAAGAGGATTTGAGTAATGACGAGAAGCGGGAATACATGGAGAAGCGCATCCCACTCGGCCGGACTGGTGTCCCAGAAGACATTGCTGGCCCAGCAGTCTTTCTGGCAAGTGACATGTCGCGATACGTGGTATGTAATATCCATTTACTATGCAATTGAGGGTAGGGGATCATGTTGACTAACATTTTCTGTCTCAGACTGGCGCACAGCTACTCGTCGATGGTGGACTCTTTGTCAATTTACAATGAGCCAGACGACGGATATATCTGTCAGATTCCGAGGATAAAATTGCCGTACGATATTTTATGTAATGAAGCACTGCCAGTTCTGCCAATGCTATCGCAGGCACATTTCTACAATTCCAATCCATACGCGCGTATGGCCGTCCCACTCCAGACCTGGCGTGCTTCTTCCTCCGTTACACCTCGCTGTTCAAGCAACAGTGCTACAGTTGCCCGCCAATTCTTCCAGGCATGGCGAGTTCCCGCTCCGCCAGCATTGCATACTGGCCAATCACTCCCAAACATGATGCGCGACGGACCAAAGGCGTCCATTGCCACGTCAAACCACGGTTGAATGTGCGCCACAATCTCAGATACCGGCCACGGCTTGTCAATCTCTTGTGGGGGCAATTCTGCAAAACCGCCCGAGAGCTTCATGTACGTTGTTGGAAACGACGCCATGCGTTGAATGAGTTCTCTCCACTCGAGGAAACTCGGTTCGTGCATGGCATTGGCCGGATCAATGCGCATATTCGGTTTACACAGATGGTCTGTCTCATTAGCAAATATACTAAAAATTATTCAATGCGGATATGATATCCATGCTGTAAGCAACTTAAAATCGATCGAGCAGTGAAAAGGAAAACCTACTTATCACAATTTTCGTCTTCTTCTCTTCATCCTCCTCGCCGGCCATGACCCGCTCCAGCATCTCCACCGCCTCGTGTAATTGCCAGATTCCACCCTGTCGTTGATCCACCCCAAGATCAAACGCGTAGCCTTTCCGTCCTAGCCACTTGACCCCTTCAATGAACTCGTCTGTGAGCAGAACTCCGGCCGGCTTGTCCTGGACTAAATACCGAAATCCTTTGATCCGGCCGAACACGTCCTTACCACCACCACCACCACCGTAACCCTTACCATCCCCACCATTTGCAACGACACGACTACTACCAGCATCACTATACCCCGCACATCGTGCCCTAACACACGCCAAATACGTCTCCAAATCTGGGCCCCTCCTCAACTTCCTCCCCTTCTTGCACTTATTCTTACCCTCACCCTCACCCTCTCCCTCTCCCTTGCCAGAAGCTCCATGATGATTCACACCAAGAGGAAGCGGCGCCCAGGGCACAATGCCGACGCACATGTTCCCGTGTCCTGCCCCGTGCCCCTCGCCCGGCCGAGACATGTCCCGGACGACGCGCGCAATAAAATCCAGTTCCGTCAGCGCGTCTTGCCATCCTTCTTGCCCTTGCCCTTGCCCTTGTCTTTGTCCTTGTCCGTCTTCTTTCCCCATATCATCTTCTTTGCCCGTTCGGTCCTCATCCTCATTGCCCATTTCTTCTCGCCCAAGCGGAGTAAACCGCCTCTCCCACCCCATCAGGCTCTCATCACGGACATGCGCGCGCCGGTCCGCTTCGAGAAAGACATACCCTCTCAGCTCAGCGGGGTTGCCCGTCGCAGCGAGGTACTCGTCCATGGAGTGCTGCGCGTCGAGCGCGCAGCCGGGCGACCACCAATTAAGTGACGGGAGCTCGGAGGAGGGGAAGAGGTGGATGTGTGAGTCGATGATTGTGGTAGGATTTGTAGTCATTGTGATTCTCCTTTGTTTTTGAGGGGGAGGGGGAAGGGGAGAATGCGTGTGTTGCCTTTCGTTTGCCCCTTTTTTTGCTCAAGGAAGTTTTTGGTCTTGGATTGCAGGGACAGTCAATTACTCGGCACAATTTGACTGCACTTTGTCGTCGATCCCCGAGTTCGCAAACCGATTGATCAATTGAGCAATTGACAAAAATCAATTAAGCAACAGAAACTCCGTAAGTCGCCCGTCGTGTACTAGATAGCTAGATGCACGTTAGACTGAATTGCCTTGACTGCGGATATAATTTTTCTTCACAATCGTGAATAATAGCTAGTTCGTATATACACCAACCTAGACACAATTGAACTGTCAATTGCCAGAGAAATTCAAATTAAAACGTGTAAGGAGCTCGTCACGACTGACAATTGACACTTTGACAATTGAATCGGGAGGTATAAATGTAGAGCGTGGCGCGGCAATGCGGGGAAAATAGAGCCGTTGAGTTACGTTGCGTTGAGTTGTAACTCTAGTTTCAGTGTCAACAACTCAGCTATAACTTACCTACAGTCAGGTGTGACTTAAACTGTGTCTGTCGTATCTTAATCTGTGACATCACACAACACCCCGCGAAAAGGTCTCGGGGTAGCTCGGTTGGTCGGGGGGACGATGAACCGAGGTCATGACTCCAGGAGACCGTCTTTTCATAACGTTTACTACTACTACTACCAACCTACCAATCTACCAACCTGACACGATTACGGCGTACAACCAGCGGTGGTCAGGGCGTTCGGGCATTGCGTAAATATAATGATATTACGGCCGTAAAGATAATACCGTAAAGATAATAATACTCCGGCACATATACCTAAAGGGTAGCATATTGGTAAATAATGCATCCACTGTAAGATAAACTATATGGTTTGAGCATCAATGCACGCATAATATTAATGGTGTATTGAAGCATTGAGAAAAATAACCCCAAATAACCCCAATTGATTCTTTTTATATCCCCATTTTTAAAGTATGGACCACCATATAAACAAGAAACTCCCAAGGCCTCAAAGACGCCCGTGAATTTTTAAAGATGAAGTTTGTACAAAATTTGTACAGTGAGCGCTGGTGGATTTTGATCGAGGGAATAAGGGGACGGCAATGGAGGGGAAGAAGGCATAAAGGACGTGGCGAGAAGTCTAAAAGGATATTCTGATGTAAATGGGAAAGTCAAGACCAGTGAGAAGAAGAGCGAGAAGAAGAAATAAAAGAACACAGTCCTCCTGTAACAAATAGTAAAAGTAATCGTGAGAGATTTGGCACACGAGAAATAGACGGGATAAATGTACAAGAAGAAATTGAGAGGCCATTAAGACGAATGTATCCCCATACACATCCTTTACTGAGGAAGATCGCTGGGATAGTAGGAAGGAGGAAAAGACTGCTGCTGCGGCACCGATGCCGATCCTAAAGGCGAAGGGACCTGCGATTGGACTTGGTCGGGTGAGGGCACGCTCGGGTGAGACAGGTGAGGATCAAAATCTGATATGAGGCTAAACTGGGTAAGCTCCTGCGGAAACGGGGAAAGAAAATTATCGAATCCAAAATCGGCAAGGTTGGGTATATCCGTCGTAGAAGTCATAAAATCCATCATGTCGACGCTGCTGCGGTGAATGTTGTTTTGGTCTGTCGGGCTCATCGAATTAGTGGCTGAAAAGATGCTGCCATTGGTATTGGTTCCTTCGTCTTCCCCACTCGCTGCTGCGCCGGCAGGGCTAAAGGGTGACCCTGAGGCGTGGCGTTGTTGGGTTTGGACAAGAGGATTGGCGGGAATAGAACCTGATCCAGGCCCAGAAAGAGGCGATGTAGAACTGGCAGCGACAGCATTTGATGACTGCATTCCGGCCGTGCCACTGCCACTGCCACTGCCGCTGCCGCCAAAGTCATTTGGCGCGTTCCGCCATAGTGTCGCCCAGTTTTTAAATGTTTCGTATCCAGAGGGTGGACCGGCTGCGCCAACCTGGGGATTTCCCGAAGAGGACCCCCTTTCGCGGGCATCAAGACGTCGAATAGCTCGCTCGAGCGCCTCAATGAGAGACACATCAGACTTTGCGGAATCAATACCCACCGCCATGGGTCTAATCAAACGCATGCCTTGTGTGAGTGCCGTGCGAAGCCGATCATTTTGCTCGTTGAGGCTCTGCGCGAGAATGGCGAGCATGGCGGCGCGACAGGAGCTGAACTCTGTATAGGATGCGCGCGCAAGCCCCGTCTCGTGTCGGAGAAGTTGACAAAGATCAATGATATCTAGAGCAGATTGGATGCAATCATTGACCAGAAGAGATTTGCTGCTGGACTGTGCTTGTTTGGCTGCTTCTTCCGCTGGACTAGCGGATGGCCCACGCGTAGGCTGGAAAATGAAGCATCGACCCATGAATATTTGTGATAGATGGTAGTTGAGTTTGAGATGAACATTGCGGCGAAACAGTGGCCCCTGCGGCCGCAGGTCCCGGCAGTATAATTCTTCGGGGAGACTGTTCCACCAATCCATGAGCCGTTTGCGGAGAACGAGAAGTCGTTCGAGATGTTCAGTGTGTCGCCGTCGAGGGCATCGTCGGATTAACGATCTGTCATTGGTCAGTTAGTTTGAGAACAGTCAGAAGGGGAACAGGAAACATCTATCCCGGGATGGATTAAAACGTACATTTGCTCCGCTATATCTCCAAGCCTTACGGTCAAAGTAATCATTGCAGACCTGTTTGCAAAGGTCGAAGGCGAACCATCAGTTGGTTGTAACTCAGGAATGTCCTTGGGCAGATCCGCGTCAATGTCCATTATCGCTATTGATGTCGGTCGTCCGTGTAATATGCTAATGCGTCTTTGTCATGGCATTATGGTTAGCCGGGACGTGCTCAATGCATGGGAATGCAAACCCACATACCTTTCCATGGCATATGCGCTCCACCAGAGACGATTACGAAGCTCGACCCTGCGGGGATCCAGCCCGCCGCCGCCAGTGTATCTTCGATGCATTCCATTTTGAATGGCCATCTTCAGAGCGATCCCAAGATATGTATAGCAAAGTCCGCCAGTATCAATAGGGAGGGTATAGACCCCCAAAAGCAAAAATGCTTGTACACTCTCCAAAGACGCAAGGGTAATCACGTCCGGAACAAGCTTGCATGCCAGTCGGTAAAACGTAAGTCCAATGTCGTCCTCGGCAGAGTTTCCACTATCCACAGAGTCATCTTCCCGCGAACCGTCCTGCTGAGAGCCCGATTGTATATGCGCATATTGCGTGCCAATGGCGAAGATGGCCAATATCACACAGACCATTCCCGCATCATCGTTGTTTAGGGTCTCTGGTCGAGAATAGCACAAGTCCAGCTTCTCATAGAGCCATATATCGTCAACTAAATAATAATTGGTTTCGCAAAACTTTAAAAATGTTTGAATCAAAAAGTGAGCAACCTGTGGCGGTGGAAAAGATTCGACAATCTCGGGCACGATATTAGCATGAGATTGAAGTTTCGTGGCTCGCCAGAATTCCTTGATTTGATCGTCCTCGGAGGTGCCCTTTTTAATGTCAGCCGGGAACCTTTCGAGAATAAAGGTGCCAGGATGGGAGATCATTACCTCTGAATCTGCTTCTCGCGCCCATTCGTTGATCCGTCGTTGTATCCGCTCACCAAATGACCAATGAGAAAATTCGCCGGAATAATCTAAATGCCAACCATGAGCACGGGAAATCACGGCAATCTCATTGCAATTTGGTCAAACTCACGTGCTGTGTTGTCAGACAACGGTCTGACCGTAAACTTTTCGTCTTCAATTGCAAGGTTACCCAATTCTTGCATATCCGCCTCGGAAAAGCTATCTGTACGAGATGGCGGTTCAATCCGAAGACTTTCGGCGAGTTGCTTCAAACTATCAATATCAAAGGTGGTCGTGTCCCCCACAAAGTGCGAAATTATGGTCGCCATATATCGATTCTTCTCCCTTTCTGCTTCCAACTCGGCATGCATGTTCGAGCTAATCGCCGCACAAGTTGTCAGTGATCCACTTCTTACGATTGTGACTACAACGTGTAGCTGAGCGGTTCAGAATGGCTTACCCATATGCGGCGCTTCCTGGGCCGGGTAATCGGGGTTTTGGTGTCATATTAAATTCGCATGGTCGACGGTACTTTGTGCATCGCACGCATGGAATGCCGCCTTGGCATTTTTCCTTTTGTTGCCGACATGCATCGCAACTGTGAGATGCGTCAGTCCTTGAACACGAGTGGCCGCAAAGTTGGCAGTGTGCAACTCACGCTCGAACTGCTCTCTTGCGATTCTCCTCCGTAACCCTGGGCCGCCTCTGTCGTCCGCTACTGTGGTGGTGTATTTCCATCTCTGATCGCATCAATTATCTAGTCCATAATCAACGCCACACTGTTCCCCCTCCCAATTCAGCAACAGCGGATACAAAATCGAACTCGAAAAGTGATTCGTGAAACAGTTTGTAAAAGAACACTTTGACGACGTAACAGTGATGGACCAGGTTCAATCGCGTGGAAACAGGGTTCCCTCAAGCAAATCGGTTTTGTTTCTACTTGGACCCCGCGAAGAATTTCAGTGGGACGGATGATCGGATTGCCGATAAGAAGCACGGGTTTCACGGAGATGCTAGAGCTCCAGGAACGTCAGCAAAAGGAGTCTCCCTCGAAGGCTCGATCTGAGCTGTACATACAGTACAGTAAAGGGCACTCAAACAACACAACGCCGGACTGCTCTCATGTGTCTTCCAGGAAGGCTTCAGAATGACTAGGGATTATTGTATGGTGAGAATCCACTCCACAGGGTACTGAATGCACAAGCCAGTCAGTTGTCTGGATTGCGCATCAGAACTTCTAGCCAATCAGACCGGAGATAGTGACAAAAGCGGTGGCCGACAACGGACGGTCGTGGGGATCTAAACGGCCCTAAGTGCTGTGGTTTCTCCGATAACCTAGAACATAATTGATAAGAACTGAGAGTTATCGACTGGGAGAGTATAGAACATACAAGTGCGCCACGACCCCTCGTGCCGTCTGGCGGTTCCTAATATCTTGCCCGGGAATAGCCGAAATATACGGAGTAAGTGTAGTTAGGCACGCGATAGCGATCAGTGGCTGAGAAGAGCGTTTGACAAGACATTTTATCAGCAATTACTGTGTCTCTTTTGTGTTTGAATATCGCAGTTGGATCCTCCGTGTTTTTCAATTGGTATCGCAATTCAATGGCTTTCAATAATACAGAGACGTCTACCTTGACAAATCACTTCAGATCAGTCTTGGTCGAGATGCATTCCACTGAATATAGTAGCTTACCTTGGTAAAACAGTGCTGGGCTTACCGTCAAAGGGTCACCGTATCGAATATACTTCCAGTACTACCGTATGTATAAGGTTCTTCCCACAAACATCACTTCGTTTGCATTTATCTCATATCATAAAGTTCGGAGCAACTCAAAGCAAAAAGAGTAGATTGACTAATGGGCGTTGTGTCGCAACGAACGAACAATCTTTGACAATTAAAGAGAAAATGCTTCCAAAGCCATTTCCAATTTGCTGACAACGTTATCACAAAAGGCTTTCTGTATGTCCTTGTTTGAGAGGTCATCTTTCTCACGATCCCACTGTATGCAGCATTTCACAGCCTCGTGATACTGCGCCCCCAATTCTCTCGAGAGTGTCTTCCGGTCAATGTGACAGTGTGCCTCATATATTTCCCTTATCTCGTCATCGAAATCCTTGTGACTTTCCCGCATTTTTCCTTTGCCATGGTCAAGCAGTGGTCGGGAGCGGCCAATTTCAAGTAGGATAATGCCCAAACTGTAAATGTGTGATGTCTTCAGGGTTTTCGTTGACTCGATTTGCCCTTGGTGAACTCCATTAAATGCAGCAGAGATGTACGGCGCCCAATTCTCGTCATTTTCCGAGAAAAGTAGAACATCTCGACTGCGCCACCTCTGCTTGATCCATGAGGAAGAATGAAGGTGAAGCAAAGATAACGCGAGAGTGAGTGCCAATCTCACTCGATCTTGGCAGGGAAGGCGCATATCTTTGTCGTCGATGCCTAAGAAGTGGAGGAGAGTCATGTTTCCCTTTTTTGGAACGTCTTTTGCTTTTGGAGCCCTGTAGAAATAGTAAAGATAGTTATTTTGAGTGGGAACGTAGCCAAGACATTCATCGGTGTTTTGGTGTCCATTTCCGGTAGCTAAACAGTTACAAAGGTTGTCGATCTTTTTCGTACTGATTATTTTGCTCCCATCTACGGATTTTTCAATTGTAGAAGAGCGTTTCCCCAGCACAGTCTCGGTTTCAAAGGTAAAGGTGACCTTCCTCTTTGGTTTGGCCGTAGAAGCTCTTTCATCGTTCTGGGTTTGGGAACAATCTTTCAACTGATGCTGGATAATCAATCGTGGCTTTACTTCCAGCGCATCAAGCTGATATCGTCCGCATTCAAATGAGTCATCGATTTGCATTTCTGAGCCAAAGGCTGATTCTGTACCAAAAAGTGGTTCTCTGCTCCAGAGTGACTGGTGGTCGCCGTAGATTGCCAAAAGGTTGAACACAGGCTGACGAATAGGGTCTAGTTGATCTCCGTGACCGACTTCGGTGGATCTCGTAGCAGTTGAATATTCCGGTATTGGCTTGAACTCCAATCGTAGATTGAACTCGTGACAATAACAGTTTCCAGTAGACGCCAGAGCTGCGTATAGAAAATTGAGCTGCTCTTGGAAATGTTTGATTGAAGAATGATCCACCTTGATCTTTGAGGGCACTTTCAGAGGAACAGTGGACGAAATTAAGACAGAGCCATTGCGAGATTCATGATGCTTGTCCACGACACATCGGTAATCATCCATGTGTTCTCGAAGTTCAGAAAGCAAGGTTCGAATCTCCGTTTCAGTTGCAGCAATCCTTCTCTTCGTAAAGAGAGGTATGGACTCTTTTGAAAGCAGATCGTCATTATTCTTCTCGGGTCCATTGCCATTCTGTAATTGTTAGCACGAAATCCCCTGGCTGAAAATTTTATACGTACGGTTTCAGTGACTGATATTCCTGTCTTACTAGACTTGCACTTGCCTAGCACGTTGTGGATTTGTTCAAACACTGCCAGGCACAAATCTACAGCAGTCATAGCTTCCTCGAAGAAGTCACCAAGATGGGCCCGCAACTGTGACTCCCAAGAAGTATCTTGCCAGAATGCTGGAGCTTCTGCCTCGCCGTTTCCAAATATCAATTTAAGCTCCTCATCGGACTTGAGACCCTTCAGAAGCCGTTGACAACAGTGCTTGAAATCCTTCTCTCTCAGGAATAAGCTTTTCCTCACCCTCTTGTTTATATCTTTAATCTTTGCCGAGGATGTTATCATGCCTATGACTGCCTTTTTGCCGCCAAGACATTGTATCGCCAGACTTACAACTGAAATTCCAAGACTGACGCCGTCCATTGTGGTTTCTCATAACATTGTCCACAGCAGGATTCAACAGGATAAATGAAGAGAACAGATATAACTGCGTTTCGACTATTCGAGCGATCTTGAGTTATGCGGAAGGCTGTGCTCGACGGCACCTACAGGGTTATCACGAAACCTGCTGCGCCTCATGTGCTGTTCAGCCTTGTGGTACCCTCGAGTCAGTCAGCTGATATAACAGCTCCAATAAAGCTCGTCCTTCCTCCGCAAAATTGTTTCTGCATCGATTCATTCACACAAGTAAAATTTCATCATTTAAAAATGGCGAATGATGCCTTTCCACTCCAGCTTGAAGTTGGATTTGCCGGGGAGCTTGTGCTCGAGTGTATCGCTGCATCCCTCCGACTTTTAGCCGCAGCAAAAACAGACAGCAATGCAGAGCCAATTTTGAGTAGGTTGCAGGATGACATCGATCGATTGCGCCTATGGGCCAACGGGTTCGGCGCTGCAAAAGGCGAAATGGACTTGATTCTTGATATGAACGATCAAATAAAAGCTGCTACAATTGGCGCCCTTGCTGCCACAAGTAGTCTTCTCGCAAAAGGTTGGACAAGCCGACCGATAAGCCTCAATTAGTCGAAATCATTTAAATTAATTTGAGAGATTAAATTAGCTGCAAATCGGCGATTGCAAGATCCAGCGACGTCGACAGCCCTGAACACTTTGACAGAGAAAGCCATTGTTATCGTACCTGAAGCAGCTTTCTTCATCGATTCGGAGTCCGACGATGACGATGACCACGAAAGCACCTCAAAGATAAATGATCTCGAGGAGGCCAGCGCAAGCTCTCTGGATGGCAATGACAAAGAGGAAGCAAGATTTTGGCAAAGTATCTCTGAGGCGTTTGCCGAGAATTGCGAATCATTGCTCGAGCTTGCGCCTTCCTTGATGACTTTGAAAGAATCGTCGGCCGTGATACCACATGTATCTGACGAATTAACGAAGGAGATCTCGACCGGTGTTGAGAACAGCGAGCTCCCTCATGATCATTTTAGGCGTCTGTTGGCAGACAAATTCCCGAATGGAAATACATATCTACTCGACCGGCTAGCGCGGGCTAGCTGGATTCTCTATTCGAGGCTTAAAGAAGGCAGTTTAAGACGCCACGAAGCGATTAAAACAAATGCAACAGTGGAAAGAGATTCCGGCTATGGCTCGATGCTCCAAAGCGAGGCGGCGAGGTCAGCAATCTGTTCACTGCCGCTTATGCAAGATGTTGAATTGGACAACATATCCGAGACCTCGAGCGGGACCGAGTCGACTGTAGAGATGTTCAGACGACCTAAATTGCCGCGGCCGCCTGTCGTCCTCGGGCCCGGTGTCACGTTTGTGTGCCCTATCTGTTTGCGGCTACTGCATAATGTCCGCGATACTCGACGATGGAGGTTATTATTGCATGAATTCTCTTTGGCAATGCAAATGTAGCTGATGCACGGTGTCTAGGAATCATGTTTTAAATGATACCAAGCCTTATTTCTGTACACACCAAGGCTGCTCTAGTGGTGATTTGTGTTTCAACTCTCGATATGAATGGATTGAACATGAGACTACTGCCCATCTGCAGGGTCAAGAGTGGGTTTGCATTTTCGAGAAATGCAAAGATTTGCCTGCTTTTTCCAGTCAAGAAAATTTCGATGAGCACTTCGCTAGCAATCACGATTCGGCATTCTTAGGCAGAGAATCTATAATGATTCTTTTGAAGAAGCTTTGCAAGCGCTGCACTTACACTACAAACCCGCTCGGGGAAAATTGCCCCTTTTGCAAGACCAGTCTTAGAAGCAAACAGCCTTTGAAGCACATAGCAAGACATTTGGAGGATATGGCGTTATTCGTAACTACCCTGATTCTTCCATCTGACGACGCTGATGAAGAGCAAGAAGAAGAAGGGGAGGAGGAGGAGGAATCTTCTCCCGAGTGCACAGATCGTCCAGAGACTTCCGTTCTTTCCCCTACATTGTCGACCTCTTCGACATCAGAAATCGTTCAGATCCCGACGACGCAACGAGATGACAAGATTTCAGACGACCAAAATCCTGTCTCCTCACCCTACATTCAGAAGCACAACAAAGACCCTAAGATCCTTAGAGAGAACTATCTAGATCCATCGATGAACGTGCAAAATTTTTCTTGGAGTTTTAGTCGACAACGTCAACTGGAAGATGCAGAACTCTTGAAGCAAGTTGCTGACAATGACAAAGACAAGAAGAATTTTGGAGAGGACCATCCAAACACATTGACAAGCATGCATAACCTTGCTACCACTTACAAGCGACAATGCAAATGGAAAGATGCAGTGCAGCTCTACGAGCAAGTTGTCAACAAGCGCCAGAAGATCCTTGGAGAAGACCATCCAGATACATTGACAAGCATGCATGATCTTGCTTTGCTTTATGAGCAACAAGAGAAATGGAAAGATGCAGAGGGGCTCTATGAGCAAGTTG